GACTCTTAGGTTTACATCTGTCAGAAACATCAAAAAGTGAAAAAATACCTACACATTTTGCCACAACATTTTTTCTGTAAGCTTTCAGCCTGTAAAATAAAATAACATATATACTTTAACACATCAGAACATCGCCTGTACGTGCAGCTAAATACCAACTCGTCAAAACAGGAAGTGTTCTTTTTCTACTAGCTTTGTAAGATGCACTGGAATCACAACATTTTCATATGTTCTATACAGAACAAAGTTTTAAACAGACTTAATGCACACTTCTCAATTCTAGAAATATTCCTCAGAGTGTATAATATTAACATCAAAATGACAATATTGCCTCTTTAGGATCTCTGCTATGATTCACAGTAAGTGTTACATATATGTGTATATATAGTTATATACACAAATTTTTACATCTCCTCTTCTTGGATCCCTACTTTTACTTCTTTTACCACTATCTAAATCCTGTTTAAACAGCAACAGCAAAATTGTGACAAGAAATAAAACATCAAGGAACAGTTTCCTCTGAAAGAAGTGACTGCTGTTACAAAGTAGTTGTGTGTGCAGCTTACAACATATTTCCTTTGAAACAGAACGGTTCAGGCTGGGGTTTTTTTGCTGATTTTCACAGAGATTAAAGTATTCCACAACTAGCTATTTTTTTTTTTTTTCAGTAGCAAGAAATGTTTTCCACAGCCAAAGAGGAAGTGAATACATGGACGTTGCAAGTTATACTCTGCACACTAAGCATAATGCTGACCCACAAGCAATTTAAAAAGAAAGCTTTTTTGTTTTAATTAGATTTATACAAAGTTTTCAGTCACAGATACCACTCAAATGCTTCTGAGCTTTTTTCCAAGAGGTATGGTAGCATATACCAGAAAAATATGACTGTACGGTAAAATCAAAGTTCTGTAATGTATAAAACTATTTAGGTAAGAGATTAGAAGTGCATTTTAAGTCCAAAAAGAGGAGAAAAAAAAAAAAGGAAACAGAAGGGCTTCACTTACGTTTCTCTTGCAATGATTTTCTTGCCAATAGCAGCCTGAATGGCTATTTCAAACAACTGCCTAGGTATAGCATCTTTTAAACGTTCACACAGGATTTTGCCAGTAGCATAGGCCTTGTCACTGAAAAAGAAAGTCATCACTGTTTTCACAACCTCAAAAACAGATCGAT